TGTGTGTGTGTGTGTGGTTGATGTGTGTGTGGGTGTGTGTCTGTTGGTGGGGGTGGGTTTGTTTGGGTAGGTGGGTAGGTGTATGTGTAAATGTGAGGATGTGCGAGTGCACTTGTCAATGTGTTTGCAAGTGATGTGTGTGTGTGTGTAGTGTGTGTATTTATGTGTGCAGTTCTGTGTCTGTCTGTCAGTGTGTTGGTCTGTCTACTTAAAGCCTATCAGTATGTTATTACATGTATATGTAAGTATTCAGGTTTAGTTACTGTTCCTCCCCAGATGGGTGTGAGTGTGTTTGACAGTTCGTCTGCTGGTCTGGGCGGCTGTCCGTACGCTAAAGGGGCCAGTGGCAACGTATCGACAGAAGACGTGGTCTACATGATGAATGGGCTGGCCATCAACACTGTGAGTGAAAGTGGGTGGTTGGCGGGTGCTCTGGTGTGGTTCTCTTCTTCTTTCTTATCAAACATCTATCGTCTTTATCTCCCCTTCTTCTTTATGCTTGTTACTCTCTTGTAACACCTCTAATCGTCTGGCACTCATATGACCCTATGCAGTTGTGGGTGTCGTAAAACTTCTACTAAAACTAAACTAAACTGAACATGGCGAGTGACCATCACTTGTGTGTTTACACTTTTGTGAGTGAAAGAGGTGGGTGGTGGAGGAGAGGAAAGAGTGGGAGATGGAGAGAGAGGGAGGGAAAGATTGGTTGGAGGAGGGTGGGAGGGAAGATAAAAAAGGGTAGGGGGAAGGGGAGAGAATGTTGGAGGAGAGTTAAAGAAGAGAGAGGGGGGAGAGAATGATAAATGAGAGCTAGAGGGGAGGGAGCGAGGGAGGGATGTCAGAAATAGAGAGAGAATGTAGAGGAGGAGGTAGAGGGAGAAGGAGAGAATGGTGGCAAGAGGGAGAGGAAAGGATGAAAGGAGTGGAAGGGGGTGGGGAGAGGGGAGAACAAAGGGAGGAGTAGGCAGAGGGGAAGGTAGATGGAAAGGGGATTAAGAGAGAAGGGGGGGAGAGTTGTCCTGGATTAGGTCATGGGTAAGAGTGCCTTAGATTAGTATTTTTCCTTGCGTGGAAATTTTAGCTACGAAAATAGATAACATTTTCTCTTTCTTTCATATGGCCGCTTTTAAGCACAAGGGGGCTATCCCCAAAAATGCTGCTTTGAGAAAATCGAAGGTAAAGTTTTTGCCCCTTGTTCAGTCTCTATAAAAAGACAAGGAGAATTTTCTCTATCCAAACAAATATACACACCAATGAAACCAAACTTCTCCTATGGGTAGGGCAATGCCCACTTTTGGTGCAGGTCAAGATTTCTGGAAACCCCCGAAATGTGGGTTAGGCTGCTTGTCCTTAAAAACGACTATATATGAATTTCTCTTTTTGTTTCCTTATTGTGTTACAAAAACATCAATTATTTTGTTGATGTTCTCGTTACTAAAACTTGAAAACCTCCGCCAACAGGGTGTTGACATCCACAAACTGATCGACGCTGGTCACTTCATCTCCACCGCCATCGGTCGCCGGACGTCCTCCAAGGTGGCTCAAGCCACCAAATGTTCTTTATGACGGACGACAGTACAGTGTCTCACCGGTGATGTCACCACACAGGATGTAGCGAGATTGGAATGGGGACGATTTAGGATGTGTGCATGATGATTTGTCAGCTGGCCAGCAGGGAGGACTTAGAGAAAGTTCTTTTTTCTCTTTCTTTCTTTCCTCCCTCTCTCTCTGTCTCTCTTTCTGTCTCTCTTTTTATCTCTCTCTTTGTCTCTGTCTCTGTCTCTGTCTCTCTCTCTCTCTCTCTCTCTCTCTCTCTCTCTCTCTTTTTTTTGTCTGTCCGTCTGTCTGTCTCATTCTCTCTTTTTTTCTCTTTCTCTCTCTCTCTCTCTCTCTCTCTCTCTCTCTCT